CTCTTTCCCATGCCCAATGCCACCTCCCCAGTTCAAGCTACTACTTTACATCTATTATTTCTCCCTCCTGGGTCTCTCCAGTTTAGATTTCACAATGAAGCTCATGTTTATGAAGAGTTTTTCCAGTCCTGTGGGGTCCTTGCTTCAAATCCTCCATTATTCTCTATGATTCCCAAGGTCTTCTGGAGTGTGGTCCTAACCCAGCTTCCCAGAGCATCTTCCTAGCTCCAGCCACCTGGCGTCCTGCTGTGACTTAGTCAGGCTGCCTGGTGGGGAATCCCTCCCCTCCATCCGTTGGCTACAGCTCAGTTCAGCCTCAACACCCATCTCATATGCCACCTAAGCCATGGAAAGTTTTATGAACCCCATTAGGTTTTTACAAACCAATTAAAGTATATTTCCTAGGACATTTTAAAGTCATTTCTTGTCTTAAAATAATGTTTTAATTATACACCTTCGATTGTAGCCATCAGGTCTGTGATTCTGTGACCCACGCACACCTACCCCGTCCCCCAGAGAGGCAGCGGCAAGCGGGAAACAGTCACTTCCAGGAACACACCAACCAGCTTGCTCAATGTTTATTTGCAGGTGCCTTGAGTTTTTTTCTGGGACAAACTTGGGCACAAGTAAATATTAAGTTGCCTGGAGGCAGGGTTGTCCAGAGGACAGAGCTTGAGTTCTAAGAGCAGACAGATTTGTGTTCCGGCCTCAAGGATTCAAGGGATGTCACTTCACAGCTGGTCCTCAGTTTGTTTCTTCATGACAAGGGGGTTATAATTCCTCCCTGTTGGGTTAAGTTGGGGGGTTAGTGAGATAATCTAAGAACATCTAGCATGGTGCCTGACACATGTGTGGAACCCCCTTCCTGGATGCAGGGCTGGATGCAGGGCTGCTCTGGAAACAATTCTTTAGCTATGTCTCATGCGTGCCTTTTGTTTTCCCAATCACAACAAAAGCTTTCTTTAATCTCTCCTGGGTTGATGCCCACCAATGCCAACTTCATGGCTGGCTGCCAGTACAAATGAACAGAGGGGCCTGAGGAGGCATAAGTATGAAGCTGAAACCAGTGATTCGCCTCTCCCTGTGGATTTGCTTGACTGATGGCTCTCCACAAAAGCAGAGACCTGGCTGAGGGCGTGGGAGTGAGTCCAGGGATAACTTGACGGGTCTCTGCCCTGGTGAGCACCTGACTGGGTGAACCGAGATGGAGAGAACGCATTAGGAGGCCTGGTGCAGAAAACAAGCATCTGCCAGCTCCTTCCCCCACCCTGGGGGTCAGGGGTCGTGGCCAGGCCCCTGACCTGGCGAGTGGCCTCCCCCTGTCTTTCAGGCTGTGTGCAGAACGAACGGCTTCTACTCGCTCAGTGTGCAGAACTGGTTCAGCCTCCACAAGACCGTGCAGCCCCTGGTGAAGCGGGTCTGTGACACCGACCGACTGGCCTGCAGCAAGACCTGCTTAAACTCGGCCGACATTGGCTTCATCATCGACGGCTCCAGCAGCGTAGGGACGGGCAACTTCCGCACGGTTCTCCAGTTTGTGGCCAACCTCAGCAAAGAGTTTGAGATTTCCGACACGGACACGCGGATTGGGGCCGTGCAGTACACCTACGAGCAGCGGCTGGAGTTTGGGTTCGACGTGTACAGCACCAAGCCTGACGTCCTCAACGCCATCAAGAGAGTGGGGTACTGGAGTGGTGGGACCAGCACGGGGGCTGCCATCAACTATGCCCTGGAACAGCTCTTCAAGAAGTCCAAGCCCAACAAGAGGAAATTAATGATCCTCATCACTGACGGGAGGTCCTATGACGATGTCCGAATACCGGCCATGGTCGCCCATCACGAGGGTGAGTGAGCTGGTCTTGCTGACCAGTCTGGGGCTGAGCATCCCTCTGGGGCTTGGTGGACCAGTGGGACAAAGAAGGGACTGTCTCTCTATGCACTGGTTTTGCCTATCACCTAATAAACTGTTCAGAACTGCAGGGAGAGTGTTAGGGGTGTAGTTCAACACTGCAGGCCCCACTGGGCAGCAGAGAAGGGTCAGGCAGGGGGCACCACGGTGGCTTCCACAGTGTCACGGCAAACCACGGCCTGTGGGTGACTGCGGATGTTAAGGTCCCACACTGAGGCAGGGCACACCAACATGTGACACATTGAAGAGGAATTTGACTCATGGCTTTCATCTCCATTGAAGACCACAAAATTGTGTTAGAAATTTGAAGAAAATGGATGTTTTAAAAGAAAAGTGCTACTTTTATAAGCAACTGCTAACCAGATATTGGAGGTTTGGGGGAGACCTCAAAGAAATTTTCATTCAAAATATTTAAAGAGATATTTCCATATGAAAATTTGGAAGAGGGCAACAGAGAGTTTACAACCATGAAAAGTGAGCAAACTATTTTTGTAAATATTTAGAAAATCGGTCATATTTAATGCTTTTTGACATTATACATACATAGAATCTATGTATAACCACTTTTGAAAGTGCCATAAAATACCAGGAAAATACAAACAACCTGGAGAAAACCCCAAGTGATAGTAATAATAGTAATGATAACAGAAGTAAACTGAGTGGTCAGTGAACCAAAAACCTGTAGATAAGTACTAGTGAACAGACTCACTCATTGTGGGGGAAGTTTTCTTGCCTGCCTACATTAAACCTGGTTCAGATGCAAGATTTTCCATATTCTTTAAAGCTGCTTTTAATCCTTCTTGAAACAAGGAGGGGTGTAACAATAAACAAGCCTTTAGGAACCAGCAGTTCTGGCTTCTGGAAACCAAAGTAACCAGACACCGGGTTCAGACGGTCTGCCCAGTGATTTGCCCTGTGCGGAAGACTCATAATGGTGGGATGGCAGGTGGCCCGCGTGCCAGCCTTCACAGGGCTCCTTGGGCTCATGTCAGCAGAGAGAAGATGGTTTACGGCTCAGAAGCAACCTGCCCAAAGTTCCAAAGTGAGTGGGAGGACGCAGGTGGGGCAGCTCTCGACAAGCCCAGGGCTCTCCCACTTTTTCCAAACATCTGGTCCCACTCATGTTCAGCTCCACTCACTCATTTTCCTAGATGCCCCTCCTTTGCACCTCACCCAGAGGGTAGCCTTGGCCTACTCGTCAGGAGAAGTGAAGATCAAGGGAGATGTCCTGGGCACTATCAGGGCTGTTATGTTCTGGGAAGCTTTAAAGAACAAGGACCAACAGATGCAAGTGACATGGAAGCAATGAGCACTGTGGGAGTGTCCAAGCCAACACTTGGGAGTGTCCAAGCCGAGGCTGGGCTGCCCGTAGAAATCTCTAGTACTGCTTATGCTGTCTTTACTGGGGGGCAGTCCTTCCATCTTTGAGCAGAAATGAGGGCTTAGTCAGTCTAAGCCCCATTCTGCAGCCAAGCTGTTCCTGCAGCCACTTGGCAGGGGTCTAAAGCCCAACGCTGGCTTTTCCCAATGTGGACAGTGTTCAGAGAAAAGACACTGGAGAGGTAAGAGAAGGAACTGGCAGCTTAACTTCAGCTCAACGAGCCACAATAGAAGAACAGCTTAGGGACTTCCCTGACAGTCCAGTGGTTAGGACTCTGAGCTTCCACTGCAGGGGGACGGGTTGGATCCCTGGTCTGGGAACCAAGATCCCTCACGCCACGTGGCACGGCCAAAAAAAAAGGCCAGCTTAGACCAGAACCACGTGAGGTGTGGATGGCTCTCCAGTCAGCAGGACAGGGCACCCGGAAGATGCTGGAGAGAGTCATGTGGGCCTTGTGAGTGGCTGGCGGGGGAGAGGAGCCTGGCCGGAAAACCCTCACCCAGGCTCTGCCCTCCGTCTCATGGCCATCTTGCTAACCCCACCCTGGCCAGCCTGGAGGGGGCGTGGGAATAGGTCGAGCCCCCCCGCTCACCAGGCAAGAACCACACAGCAGGCAGTCTGTTTCCCCACTGAGAACAGATCCCTGCCCTCCGAATTCCTCTACTCCCTGCTCCATGTTACAGTCCAAACCCTTTAATCCTACTATACTCGTTCCCATTTGCATCTAGACCAGCTCAAGTCCCTCTCTTCCTAAAAAGGGAAATAATTCTCTATGACCCCATGTTCTAGCTCCAGTTACCACCTGCCTCCCCTTTATAGCCACACTTCTGGAAAGAATCAGCTATATGTGCTGCCCCACATCTTCATTTCTTTTTCACTCTCAACTCACAGCAATTCACTTGGTTTCTTTGGCATCTACTCCCCTGCCGCTGCTACCTTCAAAGGCTACCAATATCTTGTTTCTGTTTCTTCTGAATGCAAAGAGTGCTTTTCCCTTTCATCTTCCATGACCTGCATCAGTCAACACTGCCCGCCACTTCCTTATCGGTAAACACTTACTTTTCTGTGGTGATGGAGCAGATGCTGGGTCACAGCTCTCCAGGTCCTTGTGCAAGCAGGGTTCCTGCACCAGGAATGAGGTTGGAGCCTATGGCTTATAAAGTCACCCTCAAGCCTAAAGTAATTCAATGCCACCGTTTTTTTGTCTAGGTTTGCAGTAGAGTTTATTCACAAGGCAGGCAGGAGAACCAGCCTCAAATCTGCCTCCCCAAGGGCAAGGAGCTCGGGGTATTTATAGCAAGTAAAGGAGCAGGGCGGTCTGAGGCGTGGGGAGTGTGATTAGAAAAAGGTGTGGAAGTGTTGCTCTGCGCAGGCGTAACCAAGCTACAGGCCTCTGCGCATGTTCTAAAGGTCACCAAGCAGGCACTCGCGCATGCCCTGTTGGAGGGTCAGTGGTCCTATCTTGTCTTAACCAGCTCAGCTGAGCTAGACGCAGCTGACTCTAAGGTCAGCTCACAGCTGACTCCAAGTTTCTGGAGTACAACTTGGACAAACATCTTACTGTTTAGGCTACGTGCCACTTGGAGGACATGCAAGTCTTAAAACGACCTTGATTAGTGAAGGCAGGTGAAATGGATTTGACTACCCATAGTTTCCTTTTCATTTAAAAGATCTCGAACCGACTTTTGATGCATATAAGACTCTGAATTTTGTACGCCTCTACACACAGAGCAAGTGTGTGCCATGTGGTGCAGTCTGCACGGCACCAAAGTTTCACTTGTCCAAATGTCATCCCCATGCTGCTCCTGGACATGAAATTCTTATCATGCATTTACTCCATTTTCCTGTTTTTTCTCTCCAAAAGATTGTAAACTCCTATGAGACAGCAACTATACCAACTTTATTGCTGCTGGCATACAGCAGATGTTCATGCTTTGGGCACATTTCTGATTTTGGACTCGGTTGCCTTCAAGCACAATGGCCAACAGAGCAGCAGGAAGGCAAGGATTCATTTCAGTACTTTCCCTTGGGGACATTTGCTTCATCTACCCTTTGTCCCCACAGGAGTGATCACCTATGCCATAGGCGTGGCATGGGCTGCACAGGACGAGCTGGAAGTCATCGCCACTCACCCTGCCAGGGACCACGCCTTCTTTGTGGACGAGTTCGACAACCTCTACAAAGTGGTTCCCAAGGTCATTCAGAACATTTGTACAGAGTTCAACTCACAGCCTCGGAACTAAATTCAGAGCAGGCAAAGCACCAGCAGATGCCGCTTTCCCGACTGGCTCTGGGACAACCCCCAATGCTTTATGGGACACACGTGGGGCAGCAAGGCACTTAGGGCTTGGAAACCACATGTTGTTATTTTTCTCTGCCAGTGTGGTTTTTCATGCTTCGAAACACAGAGTTAGAAAGGTGATCATAAATTTGTAGAATGAGCCAAAATAATACATCATTTTGGGAATGCTGGGGATTTTACATTTTGAGAATTGTTTTCAAAATAAAAATTGAGAATAGAACACAGCACTTACGAAGGCTTAACTAGAGCTTTTGTGAGATTTGTAACATTTTTATTTCCCATTAGAATTCTGTAACTCTCCACAAGTTTCATTTTTGTCATGACAATTTAGGAGATGCTTAATTACGTGTTTGACAGGATTTCATGCAATCACTCTGACCATGTCATGGGTAGTGTTCACAGGGTTTGTGGCAGGGCCACCTCTCTGCTCTACTCATGCCCCAGAGCACCTGCCGTGCACTCTCTCCTGGCCCAAGGTGACAGCACACCCACGGGGGTGCAGAGACAAGGTGACAGCAGCACGGCGGTGCCTGATTTACCTCCCTGTTCTCTGTTATCAGAATCACGGTGTTCCTGCAGTATATGGAGCAGTTGGGGAATGGCCCTGGAGGACCACACTGACCTGGCTTTAAAAGTGGTGCATCAGGCTGGTGCAGCCACTCTCAGCCCGAGCTGCACATTAGAATCACTTGAGAGTACAGTGCTTGTTCCCAGGCCCCACCCTAATCCAGTGAAAGCTGAGTCTCTGGGAAGGGAGTCTGAGCATTGGCAGGTGGTACTGATGATATGCTGCCAGGATTGAGAACTACTGAGCCTTGGAGGGGTCAGTGTTAGAGCTGTTACCTGGGAGAGCCCCTGTTTATGCCTGTTGTTGTGAGTCCCATTTAGTTTAGCATTTGTTTTGCATATTTCATTTGTTAACTAGATACTGTTATTACTAGTTGCATTAAAATAAGCTGGCATGGGTTTGGTTGAACTCCACTTTTTTTTACTTCTGGCTTCTACCAAGGACTCATTTATTAGGATGTGAAATTACATACACCAAAGGGAAACATTCAGAAGAATCCTAAATAGAGATGACTAACTTGACAAGTTATATCCTGTAAAAATGTGTGCTGGAGAATGCTACTCTGAATGGAGGCCAAAAGACAGTACCTGTATCAATACTTGGGACAAAATATTTACATAAGAAATTTTGAATTGAAAATAGCATCCATTTAGCAGAATTTGCATAGAACTTACCAATTCTCAATTACCAATTCTCAATACCAACTCTCAAGGAGTTATTGTCAATTAAAAATGTTGTGGTCTACAGAGAAAGGTGTCAGCAATTTCAAATTTATTAACGATAGATTTTATTTCGAAAGCAATTGCAAACAGATTTGTTCAAAACCTTCAAAATACGAAAACTAGCTTCAAAAAGGAAATTCTTCATAAAGATACCAGTGACACATTATTAGTGACAGATTTAGCTAGGAAACTAATTAAAGAACATAAGTACTAGGAACAATTATTCTGCCTATCATTTTGAATGTGCAGATAATTGATATAAAGTCTTTTTTCAATGTCGCTTCAATGTACACGAGTTAATTTTTTGAAGAAAAATTTTATTTTGGAAAATAGTTTTGGAATATAATTATTTTACAGGGTCCTTAATATAAAAACCAATTTGTCATCAATAAGTAAATACTTCCAAAAATAACATAATTTTAATTATTTTGGTGTTCTCTTTCATTCATTGTCCCAGTTTGGAAAATAAATTATATGGTCACCCTAGTTATAGGTATCATAATTTTGAAGATAAATGAAACCTCTTCAAACGTGCCCATTGTCGAAATGTTGTCAACACGTATTTGAGTACATGCTGTGTGGACCATCAGAGGTGAAGTGCTCCGGGCTTGAGGTCCTCAGAGGCTACGGTGTGGTCAGAATTGTCCGTGTGGATGTTCAAGTCGCCAGAGATGGTGACAGGAGTCAGGATGGAGAGAGAAGCAGTGAGCCAAGCTCATGGATGCTCAGCGGAGGACAGAGGTGACTAGGAGGTTGGGAGAGGACAGCAGTGACAGGGCTGGAGGGCCGAGGCCAGATTCAAGGGAGCTAGGAGCAGACCCATCCCGACTCCAGGCCTGAAACACATGGGGTGAGAGAGCACAAGGAGCCCCCACTCGGGGGGTTGAGGAAGACAACCAGGCTTCAGGTAAGAGCGGGCAAGAAGGGCTTGGGCCTCTGGGGGCTCAAGCGGGAAGGCTGCAGTGCAGGTGGGGCTGGGTGAGGTCCACGGAGCAGGGTGGAGACAAGGGTCCTGGTGGTGATGGGTGCCAGGGGAGGCTTGCATATAAATGCCAATTTGCTCAACCTAAACTGTGCCCAGCACTGCTGGGCCAACACTGAAATCTTAACACAAAAAACAGAACTTTGGAGACAATCTACATCAAACTCTTCAATGGCAAAAAAAAAAAAAAAAAAAGAAAGAGAAAAAAGAAAAAGGAAACCCAGGCCTTAAGAAGTTTGTGCTGATGCGAAGGGATAGAACTAGAATTCAGATCTCCTGTCTTCCAGTGTCCTGACTCATCTGACTGCCTTCTGGGCATCCCACAAACACACACCTGCTTCTGCACACTCGGGGGCTCTGGTCCAGCCTTTGTGGAGCTCTCTGGGTCCTGCAGACTCGGAGCCAATCTCCTAAGGCAACTCTATCTTTCATTCTATGGTCTGAGCAGGAAACCTCTTCCGTGCCCTTTCTCCTCCAAGTCAACCAAAACAAGCGGATGAGGAGCATCGGACCCGCTTCTCCGGATGCAAGTGATGTCTAAACTCCGCTCATCTTAATTGGCCCATCTCTTGAAAGTTAAGGCTCTTTGAAAGAGGTTTCTTGGCTATAAGTTTTGCAACAAGGCTCTACTAAAAATTTTCAGCCAAACTGACCATGTTCAGATATTTCTTGTTTCTCTGGGCTCTTTAAACCCTTTGAATGGGACAAAACCTCCCTGAAGCAAGTTTTCCAGCGGCAGTCTCAGGGGGACCAACATGGTTTTATAAAGAAGACAATGCTTCTGTGACCAAGGATTTTCCAGCCTGAAAGAGGAATTTCCAAAATATAATGTTATCTTCTAGTCACCATCCTAAGAGAAGTGCTCCCTTGGGTTACCAATATATAAATGTAGTAAGTAGGAAATATGCTTGAATGCATGAATTCAATTACTTTGGAAAGAGATATTTATTCAACTAATGGCTGTGAGGAATTCACAGTCCAGTGAGAAACCATGCACAAATGAACAATTAAAATCGTATAATTAATACCATGGGGTTATGCACAGAGTGCATGACTGGCGATTGCAAACAACCTCATGAGAGAAATAATCATGAAGTGCCTAACAATTAGTGAGTGTTTGCTGCATGCTGAGCACTGTTCTAAGGGCTTCCCATGTATTAACTCATTTATCCCTATGATTTACTGCAAGAAGTACTGTTATTATTCTCATTTTACAGATCATGCGCCAGAGGCATGAAGATGTCAAGTAACTTGCCCAAGGTCATAGGACTAGGAGAGGCAGATCTGGGAATTAAACCCAGGTAACCTGACTCCAGGGTCTATATACTTAACGGCTTTGCTTCTTATGATGGGGGCACACGAAATAACCAAAGTGGCTGCATAGGGGGTTCTCTAGTAAGCTTGGCAATTTAAAATGTATGTATAATTCTGCTAAGTGTATCTCAGGGTCTATTAAATGTACAAAGTGAGGAGTCTGTTAAACATCCAATGCAAACTTTACTTCCCCCCATCACTCCTCCTGCCCTCACTTAAGCTGGGTGATTTTAATCTACAGCCATAGTCCTTGTAGCTCCCTGAACACATTGGGCTCCCCATCCTCTTGTTAAACTCCTAATCATCCTTCAAGTCTCAGTCCAAATGCCACCTCCTCTTTGGAGCCTTCCCTGAGTTGCTCAGATAGACTTAGGCTCTCTGGATGCACAATCCTGACCCACCTATTTTCCAGTGATGTCCTTAGTCCCTTCCCATTAGGGGACACAACACACACACATCACCAAGGACATGGAATGCAGGGACTGAGAACTCTGAATCTAAGTAACCTGACAGTTCCAACCCCTAATACAATGGCACTGGTAGAATGGGAGGCAGAGGTATTTCAGGAAGAGAGAAACAGGATATCATGGCAAGAAAGAGAGGATCTAATTCCACGTGGACTGCACCACTGTTTCGAACCCTTCTGAGGTTCATTACTGTCTGTTACAATCACTGCTTTTCTAGGGCCAGAACCCTCTTCAGGTATCTACCCATAGGGAAACTCTGTTCCTCACCTTACGCTCTCATTTTTCCTGCAGAAATGAAAATCCCACTTCTGTTTACCTTCCTTTCATTCAACAAACATGTTTCAACTTCCTATTATGTGCCAGGCATTGTGGCAGGTGCTGGGGTACAAAGATAAATAAGACCTGGTCCCTGCCCAAGATGCTTAGGGAGGCAAGGAGGCTTGCGACAGTGTGACACACAGTGACAGCATGCAACTTGAGGCTGAGGCAGGGGTGTCAGGAAAAGCTGGAGGGAGAGGCAGGGGCCAGGCCATGGAAGGCTGTGTCATTTAAAGTTCTCTCAGTTGCAAGTAACAGAAACTCTCCTCTCAGTAACTCAAGCAAAGGGGGAATTTTTGGAAGGAACCTGGGGAAACTCATGGAGGACCCTCATGGAGCGTCAGGGAGATAGATGGCAGAGTCTCAGAAAGGAGAGGAACGACAAGAGCAGGACAGGAGGACCGGGTAACTCTCTCTCTCCTCCAGAATGAGCTTCATCTGGAAATTGTTGCACCAAGCCTGCAGAGAGGGAACAGAGTGAAACTTCCCACCCATTAAGGATTGACCTCTCCGTGCAGCCTCCTTCAGCAGGGCTATCCAGCAAACCAAGCTGATGTGGCTGATTCGGGA